AACTTCTATTTATTTAAAAATTATATTGTAATTAACAAGCATGTCGCGCTAAAACAGAAGGTTCCGTAATACTGGCCGTCTCGACTGAATATTTCACTTGTTGGTCGTCAATGCCACCCATAATCAAATTTACTTTATCCGAATTTTCAAGCGAAATTTGCATTTGATTGATTAATCCTAATTTCTCAAAAGCGTATTCATAGAGACTTTGATTTGGTTTTGGTTTACAAGAAAACATTTTAAACATCGCCGTGTGAAGATCTCTTTTAGTTTCAAAATTGTCCAAAAGCATGGCTTTCCATTCGTTCCAAGTATACGTATGTGAGTTTCTAACCCTTGATACCACACTTTCGCCGGGCCAAGCAATTTACTGAGAGCTAAATTACAAGTTGTTCTATCTGACCAGTTATACATTTATGCGTATTCATCTACCGAGTGTAACCATTGATCCACATTGTTTATAAGTGGATCAAAGGAAGACACTATTTCTTTAGAAACATTCAAATTCATTTCGGTATTAGGTTTTGTTTGTCCTAATTTGTCAATAAGCTTATTCATGCCTTCTACAAGCAAATGATTCATGCGTAAAATATCGGGCGAAGACACCACTCGAATGCCGCTTCAGGGTAACGTTATCTCTAGCTGTTTCAGGAAAATCACTCCTAAATTTCCTAACAGCAGGTTCAGGTTCTTCCCAATTCGAGCTGCTTTCCATTTTTTTTTTTTTTAATCTACGACACTGATTGGACTGGGCACAATCCCACTCCTGATTTTAGAAAAACTCAAAAAACTCTTAACACTTAACTTCTATTTATTTAAAATTTATATTGTAATTAACAAGTATTTTAAGTAAAGTCAACTATGTCTCTTGAAAGGTTGATCAAGAATAATCCAGCCCCTCATTATTATTCTATTTTATTCGCCTCCAATTGTTGCCATTCCTTCCGTCTAGTATTAAGCCTTTAACCTACTTATTACTTTATAAACATTGCCGGCGCGTGTGCCATATTTGGTTACATTCCACGTGGTTCGCCTGGATGACGTCGCCTACCATGTCCATTAGCTAACANTAAACATCCGACAACGAGTCTGGTTGTGATTCATTCCAATATCTTAGAATAATAATTCCTAAAGAACAAAACTATTTGAATTATACAGCCTCTCACACAACAGTCAATATTTAACTAGTAGTTCGCAAAAAATACAGGACATCGTATTCGAAAACTTGTTCCGGCTCTAGATATAAACATGTGTTGGCGACATTTTCCCTCCCGGTCGTCTCCGTCCTCGGCAGTTTTAAATTATGGGACACGAGCATGTAAAAACATTGAAATATAAACATAAACAGTCTGGAGTTTCGAAGCCAACGCTATCGAAAGGGGTTTGGTGCTTTTTGAGGATTCATTCTGATATAGTCTTTTCGAATATAGAGTCTAATTAGTAAGAGTTTCATTATTCTTGTTATTTTAAGAAAAAGGAAAAAAATAAAGGTTTTGTAATTCTTCGTTGTGAGTGTTATTGTTATTGATACAATTATCTAACATAAATCTCATTTTTCGACGAAACTTTTGGAAAGCATAGTTTTTAATGGTTACATTTTTTGTTGTAGAATTCTATAAAGGGTTATAACTGGAAATGTGCAAAAAGGTTTTTTAAAAGTATTTAAATAAAAAATGCAAATACTTTTTTGATTTGTTATTTCAAAATAGAAAAAATAGATTTCCTTTTCGTATTTTAAATGCTAAATACAAAATACGCATTTTCAAATAAATTACTTTCTTGTAGTACCTATTTAATTTTCTACATTTACTCATCATAAGGTCATCAGTCTTTAGACTGGTTGGACACGTACCTCCACTCNACACGGGCATGTAAAAACATTGAAATATAAACATAAACAGTCTGGAGTTTCGAGGCCAACGCTATCGAAAGGGGTTTGGTGCTTTTTGAGGATTCATTCTGATATAGTCTTTTCGAATATAGAGTCTAATTCTTTTTCTAATTAGTAAGAGTTTCATTAATTTTGTTATTTTAAGAAAAAGGAAAAAAAATAAAGGTTTTGTAATTCTTCGTTGTGAGTGTTATTGTTATTGATATAATTATCTAACAAATACAATCTGTGAACAGCGTTTCAATAACAAATCTCGCTTGCTCACTCAAGTACTACTGCCTAGTGACTTCTATCAGCAACTGACTCATTACATTTTTAAAATTTGTTCCCATGGAATAAAAAGGTTCCAAGGACAATATATGCCGTTTGCACACTTTTTACAATATACAGGTCTGCAGAGAGTCTAAACAATATATTAATTCTGCGAAATGCCGATAAGTAATCCCGCCGACCTGTACATTGCGCACATCTATTACATGTGTATGCTAAAACAACCTTAACAATAACATTATAAAAGAAATACAGTTCATTACATAAAAAATACAACACGTATTTTCAAAATACTTTCTGACGTGACAACGTCTTATAATTCGATGGAGCCGGCTGCACGCACGAAAAAACATGACTCATGCGGCGTTACCTCGCTCTGAGGCGTTCCATTTAAGGCTTGAAGGGCAAGCGAGAGCACGGAACGAGGCACAATTGGCCTCCGCGTTCGGCAGCGTTCGACATCTGTCTCTCCTATTTGAGTGAGCGATGCGTCCGCGTGGACAGCTGCTATACAATAATACATTTCCATTTACCTCCTCTATATCCATACAAAATATCTATCAAACAAATAAAATTAAAATTTTCTTTTGAAAAATGAAACCATTCCAACAGTATTTTCTTATGACGTTGTCACGTTCAATTATCGTCAGTAAACCGACTTTACAGACAACCGATTTTTTGACGTGACAACGTCTTATAATTCTATGGAGCCGGCTGCACGCACGAAAAAACATGACTCATGCTGCGTTACCTCGCTCTGAGGCGTTCCATTTGCAAGTGTGCAAGCGAGAGCGCGGAACGAGCGACAAAGAGGCACAATCGTCCTCCGCGTTCGGCAGCGTTCGATATCTGTCTCTCTCCTGCTTCCTACTTGAGTGAGCGATGCGTCCGCGTGGACAGCTGCTATACAATAATACATTTCCATTTACCTCCTTCTCTATATCCATACAAAATATCTATCAAACAAATAAAAATTAAAATTTTCTTTTGAAAAATGAGACCATTCCAACAGTATTTTCTTATGACGTTGTCACGTTCAACTATCGTCAGTAAACCGACTTTACAGACAACCGATTTTTTTTTTCAAATAAATACGTTTTTGTAGAAACTATTTAATATTCTACATTTACTTAAAAATAAAATATATTTTAAGAAACCTTTGCAGGCATTTGCTCATTTTTTAAATATTGGATTTTTTCTAGACTAATAGTGGTGTTTGCATTATATCACCAGCTGGGAAGATTCAGTATGATTTATATTTTTCTGTTTAAAGTGATTGAGATATGGTTTTTATATTGTTACGATGCAAAAGTCGATAATCACTTGAAAATTAGATTAGAATGTAAATTCTTTCTAATTTGATTTTTAGACTTGCACGTAGTCTTTTAACAGATAACTATTGCTTCTAGCACTAGTAATATTAACCAATAGTCCGCTCGTCAAAGAGAACACTTAATTAATTAATAATTACACTAGAAAAATAGTAACTGGAGACCGTAATCGAAAGACTCAATACGTTTTAACCGAAGTATTAGGTCAAAACGAAATACAGAACTGAAGGGTAGTTTTACAAAAATAAGCTTATATACTAAGGGCCTACGTGACTAATAGAGATAGTGATAATACTCAAGAAAGTAAACAAATATAGAGATGTCTACAACGTAACAATATATTTTTGTTCAAGTTTCTTCAGTTCAGCAACAAATAATTCTTCAAGACAATGATGACAAAATAGTTTGTTTAGCGCGAACGATCAGATCCAAAATAGGGTTGCAAATAATTATTAATTATGTAAAATCAACGTCAGTCATTTTATATCAAAATATTTACAACCCCATTTTGTTTCTGATCTTTTACACATTGTAATAGGAGAAAGGAGTGGAATCCTAAGTTTCATTTGCTTCGGCTTCTTCTAATAAGTTCTTTGAATGGTTTTCTAAGAATTTTGGATTACGCGCATTTATTAGCACACCACTATATCTTGTAGTTTTCAGTTTTATACAGCTGGCATATATTAATTCGATAATGTTTTGCGGGCTGTTTTGTCGTAATTCATAGAATTTCGTAGTTTCTTGCTCGTTTAGGAACAATACGATAAGTGGTGATTCGGCAGGTGCTGAAATCAATTTGGAACTTCAAAATTCCATGGACCATGACACTGAACCCGGAAAACAATATCGACCTAATATTTTAGCTCCAAAATATTATTTCCAAAGAGTTTAGCATTTTTAGGACTCTCTTCAGTTGTTCCATTTTTAAGCCTCTAATATCTTCAACAGCCAATGCGAGCAACTTTTATTCATCATTTTATATAATGTTTGATCAGTGATACTAGCAAAACTTTAAATGGCAAAAATGTATTTTTCATTTTATAAATAGACAGTACGTTTGGAAAAGTATTTTGAATAAAATACAAAATGCATTTCTCAAAAAAGTATTTAATTGCAGGCCAAAGCTACATAACCTAAAATGGCAAAATTGCGTGGAAGTGCAAGCGACTAAACAAGCCATCCTTGTATAACTGAATATATTTTCTGGATATGCACCATATGATTCCAGACTATTTTTATAACCCTATTTTTAGATGTATATGGACGAAACCGTCATAGATGCAACACCCTGCATAATGGGAATTGCCTTAATCCGTCCCTGGCGTGGGGCGACCTGCGATCCACACCTGTAAAAAGCTTGAAGCACATTTAACTTTCGAAAGAGATTTTTTGCAGACATTTGAATTTGATTGGTATGTGAATTCTGGCGCTTGAAAGAATATTTGAACTTGGTTGGTTGACAAATTATCCGTACGAATGGGGACGAAGTTGTAAATGGGAGTGAACACATATGCATTATACAGGGGAATTTGTGGCTAGTCGTTTGAGTGGCACGTGAAGTGATTCTCTGTTTCTTTAGAATTGGCTACAAAAGTGGAAGATAAATAAAAAAGTTCACCACTTTCGGAATAATTAAAGAATATATCACTTCAATGACAAAGTATTTACGACTTGGTCACCAAGGTATGTTTATTCCTTAATGTTTTTATTATAAATATAATCAAACAGCAATCATTGAAAGATAAACATAAACAGTCTGGAGTTTCGAGGCCAACGCTATCGAAAGGGGTTTGGTGCTTTTTGAGGATTCATTCTGATAGTCTTTTCGAATATACAGTCTAATTATTTTTCTAATTAGTAAGAGTTTCATTAATTTTGTTATTTTAAGAAAAAGGAAAAAAAATAAAGGNTTAAGGCATTTGTGATATTAATTATAGATTCATTGCATGTGTATGGTACTAACAAAAAAAATTCCTTTTTCAACGCATAAAAGTACGGATTTTGTTTAAAGATTGGATAGGATACAAAATAAATAATAAGTGGTTCGAAATTATAACGATAGCACAGATAAACGGGGATGGAATAAAAAAGATATGTTTAATAAAAGGTAGTATAAATTTACCATTATCTAAACATATAGCCTGTTTTTTTTTTGGCAATACTGTAATAAGTGGCATCAAATTAATAAATTATAAAGACAATACAGATAAATGGAGTAGATTTTAATCAGCTTATCGATTAATATTTTTTTATTATAAAATAGGCGAGATGAGTTGGTAGGACCACCTTCTCAAGCATGAAGGTCTAGTCAGACATATTAGAGGCAGAAACAGGAGTTAAGAGGGGTAGAAGTAGACCTAGACTGGATTACTGTTCGCAAATAGTTAAGAATGTGGGTTATTCTAGTTTTAGGGAAATGCGAAGTTTAGCTAAGGATATGAAAGAGTGGAGGTACGTGTCCAACCAGTCTTTGGACTGATGACCTTATGATTACGGCTAACAAGGATCTACTTAGTTGGTGTATTAATCCATTTGTAGGTATTTTTGCGCCCGTTTTATTTCAATTCTGTAAAAGTTATTTGATCGATAAGATAAATAGTATGCGTTTATCAAAAAGTTGATAAGTTATAAAGAAATACATTGTCACAAGCTTGGGTACATATATAATTTAATGTGATAAAATGTAAGATGAATATTTAGAATAGAAATATTCGTAATCTTATGCCAATAAGATTATATTCCTATAAATATATTGTACAATATAATTTTCACCAGTGCGTTTGGTTTTTATAATTCATATCGAGAAGTAATAACTGTTGAACAATGCTCTCTTTCGCGACTAGGTATTAGATTTCACAGTAAATGAAAGCTTATACATATTATTATTACACATGGCTTTATCGTCGTGCTGATTACCAAAGAAAAACAACTTCAAGAACATCCATAGTCATTAGTTGACATTGCTATTTTTGCGTGGTTTTTGCATGAATGAGGTAAATTGTTGCATTATACACGTTGCTGTTGGGATAAAATAAAACACGTTGAAAGTTCTTCCGGGAGCTTTATTTTTATTACATGTAAAAATTCACGACGACTTTTAAAATATATTGTAACGTTAAACTAAAACTCATCTCTTTGTTAAAACAAGCTCGGTCAGGCATGCTAATCTGATATTAGGTCATTATAAAATCTTATAAGGTTACTTATATCTAGGGTTGCCACCCGTACTTTATTATAAAGAGAATAGAGAAATAATGGAAATTGTTGTATTGTAGACGTTTTTATATATATATATATATATGGGAGATTCTACGTTAAGAGGTACTAATGGTGTCTAAATGAAAAAACCATATATTGGTTGAAAATGACGAACATACATAATGATAAACAACGTTTACTTTGTTGCCAGTAAATTTCAATACCTTAATTAATATTGTTTAGCTATAATTGCATGTTAACCTTGAAAAATGTATCTACCCTGGCCTGTCCCTTTACTGTTTCGCAAAGAAGTCTGTGTAATTTAATACATTTCTAATTAATTAGAANCGTTTACTTTGTTGCCAGTAAATTTCAATACCTTAATTAATATTGTTTAGCTATAATTGCATGTTAACCTTGAAAAATGTATCTACCCTGGCCTGTCCCTTTACTGTTTCGCAAAGAAGTCTGTGTAATTTAATACATTTCTAATTAATTGGAAATTTCAGCATTATTTATTTCATAAAGAAGCCTTAGTAACAATGGTAAAAATGAAATTACTTCTATTTTCTTTAAAAAAAAAGTACGCAATTTTTGCCCCTCATATTTTAAGTCTCATACCCTGGACATTTTACATCCTTTAAAAAATGTCGATAAAGTACGTGTCGTTAAAGATTTTAAACTCTTACACCCTTTTTTCTATTGTTTTCTCAACCAATAGCTTAAATATGGCCTCACGCGCTTCTCTATTTCTTAGTCGTTCCCCGAAATTTCTGTTCCCTATTTTTCATCATTCTCTGTGTAATTCTACTTAACACTTTTAACGCATGAGAACTCAAAGCAAATTGTTCCAAAATTCTCCCAAGTTCCCAACTATCCTCGCCTCACATTTTTTGGTACACCCACACCCCTTTACTCCGTTTACAACCACCATGTTGAACTAAATTTGAACAAGAAACTAGAAAGTTGAAATTAATATGAATATGTAACTCTTCCTTTACTCTAAGTACTTAGAATTCACCTCAACACATTTAATTTCACTTACCCTCTGCAATTTATCGAATAAATTGTTCCTATACATTTAACTGCCTTATTTTAATAATGATTTGTGTAATCTACCCCATCTTCTGTGGAACGTAGAAATTGCATGTAAGACTGTCGCCTTTTTCTGAAATTAATTAAATTATAGGGGTATTTTTTTACATATCGATGAGAAAAATTACATTTTTTGTTGCGGACTATCTGTCTGAAGTTCGGAGTTAAATTGGTGCAAGCTATTGACATTCTGGAGATCAGTAAGTCGAGATCGAAATTTATTGATGGTCAAATAAACCGAAACGTTACAAAAACATATAGTTGTGTAATTAATATTGGCAGAGTTCTTATTTTCAGGTGATAAATAAAACAACTTGATAGAGTTGGAGTAATTTTATTCTAAGTTTTGAAAACGACTTAATCGAACGGTCTCACAGTTTTAACTAACTAATACATTTCTTCAGTAAATTTTTCTAGCATTAGCTTTGTTAGTTTGTGACACTCGAGATTTTGTCACGTTCGAATTTCAAGAGCTTAGACTAATCATCTATACATCATTATGAATTGGATATAAATTTAGTCTATTAAATAAACATAACGGGTTCATTTTTGTTAATGAACTCCAATAATTAATTGACCGCCACCCTGGAAAAAAATACATAACTTATACAATTTAGCATGTGTGTTTGCGCACCCCTAATTGTTGGTGCCATACATTGACCCGACGAATTTGCAAGTCTTACTTAAAAGACATGGTCATATACTATAAACTAAAAAAACGTAAACGTTCTATTGGTTATTAGAAAATACTACAAATGGCGCAGTAAACGCCATCTGTAACACGATGCTACATTTTAGAATTACGTATGCTAGAACAAGGTCCACTTGTGTGGATATCTACTTGCTGAAAACGAATCCCCGCGTAGCCAACCTCAACGTGATAGGCACGTTAGCTTAATCGAATAAAATAATTCGAAGTGGTCTGTATTTTGTCGAAACTGCCAGACGCGGATCGCGATTTCGATCTTTTTGGATCTCATCAGCGCGTCGCAGGCAGCTCCGACAGAACACAGACCAACCCTTACCTGCTGTTTTAACAGTGCGTTTTAGAAAATACTACAAATGGCGCAGTAATTATTAGAACTTGTACGTAAGAAGGGGATGGAGGAAGTATTTAAGCTGGTTATGCGTTTTTACGCATCAGTTCCTTGTTTGTTATTTGCCCTATTTTCTAAATGTTTGCGTGCGGTTCATTCCAACAATGATTGATTTTTATACAGGTCCTTCCCTTTCAACGGTTCAATCGTACGGTTTAAGTATATGCCAGAAGTATCAATTGACAGACGCTCAATTTACGCGACTACTTGACCAAAAAAATGTGTTAGTTGTATTTTTAATCAAATACGGAGTTGTGTTCTGCCATACCCTGTGCCCTAATTGCAATAAAAGATTGTAATTAAAAGAAGTTGGGAAATAGTGGCGATACGACTGTCGACGCCTGTGTCGAATACCCATTGTCTAGGCGTGCACGTTGGTATCCATTTATCTTTCCTGAAATGCCCCCAGTTAAGTAAGATTTAATTGTTGTACATATTATTTTCAGTATTCATCAATCATCATCATATGTACCATTAGATTTAATAATATTTAAGTAATGCAATTTAGATATTTATTTCATTCCATCATTTTAATATTTGTATGTTTCAATAATTTATCTTGAAACGAGTTATCTATATACCTAGAAATTGTCACTGACTTTCAAAATTCCTGAATATTAATTTTTATGATACTGTCCGCTACCTGCAAGGGGACGGTTCTTGTAACTAGGGTCGAATGATGCTCTGATTTGTCAACCCCCTCTAAAATTTTGTAGTTAGTAAGTAACACCTAGTTTTTGTATGACTGCGATTTAAGTTGTTCAACAGTAAACATACTATATAACTGCTCTTACAATTATCTTAGTTTTGAAGTTTTGTACTTTTGAGTCAAAATCTTCGTATTCTAAATATATTTGTTAAGTTTTTAATATCCAACGTTGAGTGTCGTTAACTAAATTCGAGTTTTGGAATTCATATGCAATCTAACATCCCCGAGTCCATTACGCCCATCGAGAAACTAGTCTTTCATCGAAAACTGTGGTGGATTGGTTCTCGTTTATAAGGGAGGTTCTGATCGACAGGGTACAACACCGATCGGAAAAATTAGATGAACCGGGAAGATAGTGAAAATTAACGAGGCTAAGTTGGGAAAGCGGAAATACAACCGGGGTCATCTTCTTCGCGGACAATGGGTACTCGGCGGAATCGAACGGGATGAACGCGGTTCAAATCAGGGAGAAATGTTTCTCGCTCCAGTGCCGGACCGATGTGCGGAAATTTTAATTAACATAATTGTTAATTATGTGTTGCCTAGTTCGACAATTATAACTTATGGTTGGCGTAGTTACAATTCGTTGACTGAACATAACTACCGCCATCTCACCGTCAACCACGAACTTAATTCGTTGACGTACGGCCCTGGTGCACACACGCAAAACATTGAACGTTCGCGGGTGCAACTGCGTAGGCATGTGTGCAGGGCCGGACTTGTGGGAAAACATTTAGCGTCGTATCTTGCCGATAGCATTTTTCGTAGGGTGGCTCCCGATCTTCGGTTGCGACGGCATTTTTTTTTTTGGCAGGCAGTTGCCCCCCTTCTGCGGAATACCCCTTACGTTAAGTAAGTTGCATGTTACATTTTGCTATTTTCATAACACAATTTTGGTTCCTCTCCAGCCATACATTCTTTATTACGTAAAGTATAATTCTTCACCCTTCCCCCTCATTGCTCACATTAACCAACCACTTTTCCTGCAATAACCACACTTATTTACAACATTCCACTGCATTTCTAATGTGAACTACTCTTCCCCCTTCACCCCCTCATTACATTTTTCACTTTCTTCACATCTCCTCAACACCAAATAACACCTCACTTGTACAATACAACAATTTACCTCATTTCTGCAACACGCAAAAACAGCAATGTCAACTAATGTAAAAAAACCTAGGAAACATGTTTTATTTGAATTTTTTTTTGATTAAGCTTACAGTTTGGCTGCAATGAGCATATTGCGAACTTTTTATTTTCTATAACCTTTTCTCATTTGGAGTCATATTTAACATGGCTACCATTTATACGAAAGCTTATTTTTTATTTGTTTAAACAATCTGTATAGTGTAAATTATATCTCGATAATACAGACTATATTGCATTAAAATAGGGAACAAGTTTCGTTTGAAAAAGTTTTTGATTAAACTTTCAGTTTAGCCGCACTGAATATATTACGTACTTTTTGGGCCACCCTGTATATAAGAATACATCCAAATGTAATAAATTTCAGAACTGATACAGGTAACTTAGGCAATATCTACAATTACTGAATAAAATATGAAACCAAATGTAACACAGACAAACCATACCATAAGTATGATCATAGAACATAAACCAGGTAGAAGGTTAGTGCTCGGGGGTAGAACTGAAACGGCTTAAAATCTTTAGAACTATATCGGGTGATGTGACAGATGACACATACATACATAAAATTTTGCAAGGGTATATTCTTAGAGTAAAAATTTAGATATTAATTAAAATAAATAGTAATTATTAGATATATCTGTTATAGACCTATCTAATATTATAAACATATCTTTTCTTTCTACAATCGTTCTCTTCTGTTACTCTTTAAAAATCTCACTTTTACAACCTCCTTTAAAAAAATATTCCTTTCTTGCAATTTTAACAACCACCGCCTACATTTACTTCAATTAACAATAACCTTCTATAAATCGTCTCTCGCTTCGGCATTTTTCATATAATTTACCTTGAACCGGCAACCTATCCCAAAATTACAACACCCCTTCTAAATCTCTTTTATACTTTTTACTTCAAAACCTTTCTTTTATTTATATTTTTATTGCCACCGAACGTGTCTTCGTTACAGGCCGACAGTACCCTTGTCTCAAGTTTTTTTATTACCAATGCAGGTAATTATCCAGAATTGGGGCAATTTTGAAAAATCATTCAAAAAATTTTTTTTATTTATGAAATCATAAAAAACTGTCTCCCCCACCTTCTAATATCTAATTCTATTATGTATAATGACCGCAAATCGATTAAAAAAAATTTGGATCGATTTTGACATGGAGCCCCAGTTCTGGACAATTACCACAATCTCAATAATTTTGTTAGAAATTTGGTTCCTAGATTCTCATAATAACAAGATTAAAAGAAATTCTTTCTTTACTTCACTTATTTATTTGATGAATTCATAGTAACGTAAAAAAATTAAGAGGAACTTGAACTTTAACCTGAACCTGAGCTTCCATTTTTTCAATTCAATCAATATTTCCCACCACTTAGTGGGGTTATTCAAACGGGTACTTGTAGTGGGATTTTTTTGAGTTTTCACGTTTTACTAGCAATATGATTTCAAAAGAGAGAACAAAAATTGCGATAGACAAGTGTAGTTTTTAACCTGTTACAAGACACGTTTTATATTTACAACCAGAGAAATTTATATTAAGGGCGAAATGCCGAATCGGAAAAACTTTTATTGAGGGTTATTATTAATATATATAAAAGAAATTGTGAGTGCTGTCAGCACAGGGCAAAGTCCAACTCTTGCTCTCTATCATTGAGTAGCCACAAAATTGAATTTCGACCACTCGAAGCAATGGTGTTAACAGTTTCAAGGGGGAAGAACTTGTTTTAGGAAAGATATTTCTGAGTAAACAGTTAAAGAATATTTCTTAAATGTGTAAATATAGGGTCAATTGAAAAGTCCCCGGCCTGGCACATAGATGGCGGCACTAGAACTAAATCCATATGATTTTCAGTTAGTCCTAACCTTCAAAAGACGCGTCTATAAATTTGACGGCTGTCGGATCATTAGTTTGTGAATTATAGCATTTTTAGTGAAGCAACTTTTGTTATTGTGAAAAAAATGGATAAAAAGGAATTTCGCGTGTTGATAAAATATTGCTTTTGAAGATGATCACGTGTAATAAACCAGAGTTTTTGCGTCGATATGTGACAATGGATGAAACATGGCTCCATCATTTCACTCTGAAGTCCAATCGACAGTCATCGGAGTGGACTGCATACGATGAACCCGCTCCAAAGCGTGCAAAAACGCAACAGTCGGCTGGCAAGGTTATGGCGTCTGTATTTTGAAGGACGAAATCGCCGAGAAACGGCCTCATTTGCAGAAAAAGAAAGTCCTGCTTCACCAAGACAATGCACCGTCTCACAAGTTAGTGAAAACGATGGCAAAAATTCATGAATTGGGCTTCGAATTGCTTCCGCATCCACCGTATTCTCCAGATCTGGCCCCCAGCGACTACTTCCTGTTCTCAGATCTCAAAAGAATGCTCGTTGGGAAAAAATTTTCGTCGAATGAAGAGGTGATCGCCGAAACTGAGGCCTATTTTGAAGCAAAGGACAAATCGTACTACAAAAATGGTATCGAAAAGTTGGAGGATCGCTGTAATCAGTGTATCACCCTTGAAGGGAATTATGTTGAATAAAAAAAACGAATTTTGCAAAAAAAATGTGTTTTACTATTTTAGGCCGGGGACTTTTCAATTGACCTGTTATGTTTATAATGTACACAAGGATAATTTAAAAGGGTCATAATAATTTAAATATTGTTGATATTACTAATAATTTCTTTTTTGCATTGTTTAGACGAAACAATGGTCAACGATCCGCCAACTTACAACAACGCCATAACTGCAGGAGCTCCTCCACCTCCTGGTTTTGTTCCAACACCCTCAACGCACAGTAAGTACAGAAAAGAGTACAAAAGAGTAAAAATTTTTAGTTTTACATTCCTTTTAATTTAAAAAATATATATTTAATTTTGTACGTATTATATCCATAGATGCAACTATCATTGTAAGTGGGCCGCCACAAGGTTCTTTTGGACCGCGTAGTAAGATGACGGTATGTCCTTACTGCAACAGTCACATCAGCAGCAAAGTAGTTTCTAATGCTACAACTAAGACTCACTTAATTGCATTACTGCTTTGCCTTGGCTTGTAAGTATTTATATACTGTTTTTTTTTTATTAAAAAAGGTGCACAATTAGGCCAAAAAAATTGCTTTTTTGTTTCCTCGATATTCTGAGAATATTGCAGGGTAGATAGAAAATAAGATGTGCAATATACAACATACATTCCGTCATTTTAATTGAGGAGAACATACACGATAACATTATTTTACAAATTTTGAAAATTTAAATCGCAGTAGTTCCCGAAATATTGACCACCTAGTGAGACACCCTGTATATGAGTTGAAAGACAATATTCCAATTTTTTTACTGCAGCCCCTTTCCCCCACCAAACTGTAAATCCTGGATCCTGCACAGGACTGAAACAAATTTTAAAGAATAGGTCGTTTGTGTTTTTAGGGCAGTTAAAGAGATGTGAAAAAAATAGGATGTTTATGGGTGTGGGAAGTGTCGAGGGATCGCTTTATATTGCAATAAAAGGTAGTGGTAGAATAGAAAAAGAATATAAAGTTTGTCGTGTTAGTTGATCTATAATATTTATAATAAAGGAAGCAAAAAGGGAATACAATTATTGTAATTGTTTTAAAAGTATTAATAAGAAAAAAAATTTGAATTCTAGCAAACCTCTTGGTTTTAATAAAGCATCATATGCTATATTTTACGTAATTGAAATTTTCAGAATTTTGTGGTTCAAACTATCGATAGTGACTATTTGATGAAACAATAATGAAGTACTTAAATATAATAAAACAAAATGAAAATGTTTCAACTTTACTTATTGTACTCGACAAAAATTTTCCGGAAGACAGCTGATCATTTTCAACAGCAAACGAGTTTCTTCACCTTAATCTCCCCCCCCCTCATTGCAAATCCTAGCCACGCCTCTTCCAAGTATCATGTGACACTTTCTTCAAGTATGAACTAAAAACAACTCGATTTTTCTCATGATAGCCATTAATGTTTTTTTTTTTTTTAATTAATTAATAGATGTTGGTGTTGTGTGTGCTTACCGTATTGTATGGATTCATGCCGAAACCAAAATCACTATTGCCCAAATTGCGAGGTTTTCTTGGGAACATATACCAACTAACGAATTATTATTTCATATTTTTTTCAAATAAGGAACGTTGGTAACTTAGTTGCTTATGAATATTATTGGGTATTATAGTTTATAAGTTTTTTAGATTATTACTGCTGTTTTTTTTTTCGTAAAATTTTTTAATTGTATTTGTACCAAATATATTACAACTTACCCCGTATCGTATATTGGAAAGCAAACATGTTCGTATATTTTTACCATGCCCCTACCGAAAGCACTATAAATTTCGAGTATGAAAGGGCAACATCTATTCCTTCCGAGTAAGAAATCGCATTCACTTCTAATTAAGAAATGATTTTACTATCTTCCGCGTGGTTTCTAATTTTTCCACAATTACTACGCTTTTGGTGTTAAAATATATTTCTGATAAACAGTAAATGCGATTTATCACCTGGGAGGTAGTATATCAATTTCTCATAACTAAAATTCTCCCTCAGTATAATAGTAATTTCAAGACCAGTGTTTAAGGAAACTAAAATTTGCCTTCAATAATATTGATATATTTTTTTCTTTTACTTCTCCCTCCTCATGGAAATGAGGATAGTTAAATGAATGATGTCTTTTGTTAAAATTTTTTTTGTTCATTGGTGATCGACCAATTTGAAATTGGTACTGAAACACTTCTAGCTAAACTTTCTAAAACAAATTCGACAGTCATATGCATTGGATTTATATGAGTTTACAATACAAGGAACGGGAGTTAAAAACTATATCAATATTATAGGAAAATTAGTTGTAATAAGTAGTTTAGCATATATACATATCTATTTTTATTTTCTTTTTCATTTACCTGCTATAAAAAGACTGGTAGTATTTTATACGGTATGCTGTAGTGAACTAGCTTCCTTATAAGTGTTTCTACATACGTAATATACTTATATTATACTTATCTTGTATTTTAATCTTTACGGATTTATAAAAACATTGTGTAATCTACAATATAAAATAACATTTTTTAAACGTTTATATACATTAAAATTATTATATGCATTTTCATATTTGTGTTCATTTTCTCAATACCTTATGCCCTTACTGAAAGCATTACTAATAACGTGTTGTTAAAAATGAGACCAATATGCCATACCTATTTCAGTAATAAAATATTTTACGTTTACGAGTTCTTCCCCCATATCAGTCACTCTGAGCTCGAAACTGTTAGCACCATTGCTTCGAGTGGTCGTAATTTACTGTTGTGAACAATTTGTTTAATCACTTACTTTGTCTTAAAAATTGTTTGAAACACTAAATTTAAAGAAACTGTAAATAGGTATGCAACACATCGCACACTTCAGCATAAGGAATTGCTGATACTAACTTCGTAATACTGAATTGCCCTGTGCTGACAGCACTTATAATTTCTTTTATATATAATATACAGTTATAGTCATAGATAATAGATATACAAAGCGTGTATATGGTTATAGTAAAACTTGTAAATATGAAATGTATTGGTGCGTTTTTACGTCATTGTGTTATTATTTACCGTTGTGGTTTTGTATACCGTCCGGGTTTTTGTGTTAGTTTAAAAGAAGAAAATTTATTAGGAGAATCGAATTGCATTAAGTAATTGTAAAGAGTTAGAAAATGCTTTTCATGAATTGTTTTATTTCAAAACTATTAAAAGCGTAAGCAGTTTATTTTCTGCATGGATCAAGGGTGTATCACATTTTAAGTTTCTTATAATCCAAACGTTTTGGGGTGACGAAATCACACTAGCAACATGCATCTGTAGGCAGAAAAAGTAAAGAAAATATCTTAGAGTGCATGTTCATTTATGCTCTTGGTGCATACGTAATTATTAATTACCCCTCGATCAGTAAAAGAAATTTTCTTGGGTAATCTAGCAATCAAATTTGTTGCCATTAACTGAAGAAACAAAGATGCATTTACTCGGTGAATATCCGTCAACAAATTATAATAACAGTGGGAAAATTAAAAATAAATATGAATTTTCATTAAAATTATAATGTGATTGGTCGATTGTTTAAACGATTGGAACAGCGCTTTTAATATGGTCGCGTAATTCAACACCTTTCGCTCTACTAACTCCTTTATTTAACGAATTACTCTAAATAATACGACTATTATTAATAAACTACTCGTTCACTTAAATATTGGACACTATCGCTTCTTTCGTTCTTTTTAATTCACCTTCTGTCGACGCGTAATTAGAATTCGAATTCGAACTGTTAAAAAAAAAATGAAACAACCCTCAACAACACATTTCCACCAGATACTAATGCTGTTGGGTGGGCGGACTACGCCAGAAAGTAAGGCAGACCTCTTCAGCCTCCTTTCAGGTATCGTGGAAATAAGATCCGCGGTGTCCTTCCAAATAAATATAAGTGACATTTTTCAATACATATAGGTACATATGTACGACGAAAACCTTTTGTTCCAACACTATTTAGGTGGTAGTTGCTCAAGTTCTTCGGGTTTCTGCAAATCTATACCGTAATAGATTTATGTCTTACCTGGATGTTTATTATATAATTACTGTTTCATTAATTATTGTAGAATAATTATTTTTGTATGTTATATTATTTCTCTGTTGACGATTTCTTCAGAACTTAATATTTCCAAAAGCAAAGTAAAGTATTGATTCAAAACCTTCGCCAATAAGTTTTTCCGGAACCTGAATGATATTTCCCATTTTTTTTTGAAATTAGGTAATATTTCCTATCTACTGCTAAAAAGTGGATTTGGGATTTGCATAATTTGATAGTTTCAGTCTATCTTAGAGATTTAAGGATTACATAAAGTGTTCGCGCGTAAAAGCATTACTGGCTCGACGTATCGTTACTCCTTTAGACATAAACGTTTCATGACGTATGAATATTATGTGATTCATCATCATCATGAGGTCGTCGTCAGTCCTAAGACTGGTTGGACATGCACCACCACACTTTCCTATCCTGAGCTAAACTTCGCATTTCCCTAAAACTAGAACAACCCACATCTTTAACTATTTGCAAGCAGTAATGTAATCTAGGTCTACCTCTACTCCTCTGAACCCCTGTTTCTGCCTCTAATATGTCTCTGACTAGATGTTGCAGCTTATCGACTAATCTGTCCGTGACTATCTCCACGGTAATTACCAGGATTATTTCGGGAAAGTAAATTTATCTCTCACGTAATAAAATCAGGATATAACACACACCTATAATTCATTGTGCTGAAAGTCAACGAACGAATTGGTTGTTTTCTGATTTTTTTACGTATGCTCCAAGACCCATATTTTAGTTAGCAACTAAAAAAAAGTTTTTTTAAATGCGCTAATCTGGCGAATACACAGTTGATAAAAGCCAGGTGTTTTAAATTTTTGCGCCCCTAAAACTTTTCCGTCCAATACCCTTGTCGTTGCAATCTTTTTCTATCATTTGCATGCTTCTGTATATGTTTTGTAATTCTGAACAACTTTTTCCTATAATTTTTTGGATTGAACCCTTAATTAACAGTATTGCCATTTTGAACACCTTGAATAGTTAATTAAATTTAGGCGTTGAGGTTGATCTTACATTAGAATAGTAATTTAAACCTATTAAAAAGTTTAAAATAATCTCTTCTAACGTTAGCCTTACGATTAAACGGGTTTCTGACTTTATACAGATAGTTTTAAAAATACTTGCAAAATTTAAAACGAAAGACGTGGCAACATTGCATGCGCTCCAAGTTTTTAGTTTTACAACAACTATTTTCATAGCTATTAATAATTGACAATTATGGAGCTACGAGTCCATAAGGAACATGAAATAGAAAAACTTATTTTATACATTTTATCTCGTTTTAAAAATGTGGTAGGTATATTGATTTGTTTATTATTTAAATTATTACTTTTTGCTTTTTAGCCTGTTATGTAGGTAGGAAATTTTTCAATCAATTTTAAGTATAGTGATAAAATTACAAATATCAAACACATATGGTACTTATAGCGTGAGTTTACGATTTTAATATAATTATACTTCGTTTACTTTCTCTAGCGATTTCCCCTGCCAATGTCTTGGATGCGCGCTGGCAAAATCGTAGGTAGGGAGAAAAAAGCTCATTATACTCTCGACTCTTGTTCATTAAACATACCTTTTCGTACAGTACCTGCCAAAAGTTTTGTTTAATCATGAATAGTAGTGGTGGTCGAAAACAATCGTTAAAGCCATTAATATGTTTCTTAATATAAATAAACATTTCGTTGATACTTTCAGTATTAATTGGTACCAATAACAGCACATTTGAGCAATGCAATTTTAGTGGATGAAACGGTCAACTTTTCCGTGCAGTACTGTATGGATTATACGCTCCTCACCGGTTAAGAGTTTGGCTGAGAGTTGTTTCCTTTCTTTTCTGGCATAGTGCTGTTCTTTTCTACTTTGCACCGGTCAAACTAAAGGTCACATCGCTAGAGAAACTAAACAAAGTATAACAGCAAGTTAATAATTTAATATTGCATTGTCAGACAGTTCTGAGCTGTTTCACGTTTCAGGCCTCTAGCTCAGCGTTTCTTAAACTTTTTGATAGGTACGACTTTTTTAATATTTACGTGAATGTAATATTCTTATGAATNAAACAATCATTAAGTCTTGTTCAAATGGCCGTTCAAAAAATCGCAACTTTTTGCCAACGGATCTTCGCCAAAACAGTTGAAATCGTTGAAAGAAAGTAATAATTATTATAAATATTAAATAATTTGGTGGAAACTATTATAACAGGAAGTAACAGCATTGGTCCACCAAAATTCTGCCAGATGAGAAATCATCACTAATATATTATCAGAACCGATATGTATTAGTGAATCCACTGCAGAAAACCTCAAAGTAATCAGGAAAAATTGTTACCACTGTTACTCTCTTGTCGGGAATCGAACCCGGATCCTCTGATTTTACGCACAAGTAATTTACCACTAAAGCTACAAGGAGGTGATATAACATAGACGGTTGATACGAAATTGCGGAAAGAATACAAAAAGACACTGCTATTACATTAATTATGAGTACTGTCAGTATCATTAGTGTTAGTATCATTAGTATCAGTATCATTGGTACCAGTATCATTAATATCAGTAATTAATAATATCATCAGTTGTTTATATCAGAAGTTTTCGGTTGTGTATATTGTAATCTTCATATTAATTTAAGGAAAGAGCGAAGATAAAGATAGGAGACGAAAAATTAGAAGAAATGACTGATATTACGTATCTAGGAAGTTAGATAAGTCAGGACGGAAGGAGTAGTGGGGATATAAAGCAGAGGATAGCGTAGGGTCGAGTTGTCTTCAATAAAAAGAAATCACTACCATGCTCGCGAACAGTTAATTTAGAAATTTGAACAAGATTATTAAAGGTGTAATGTTTGGAGCGTGTCGCTGTGTGTGTACGAAACAAGGATGGTGAGCTCGGTGGAAAAGAAAAGGTTAGACGCGTTCGAAATATAGTGTTTCAGGCGAATAATGAGAATATTGTGGATAGAGAAGGTTAGAAATGAAGAGGTATTAGCAAGAATAGGAGAACAGAGAACTCTATGGAAGTCAATAAAAAAATAGGCGAGATAAGTTGGTAGGAAACCTTCTCAGACATGAAGGTCTAGTCAGAGACCCATTAGAGGTAGAAACAGGAGTTAGGAAGAGTAGAGGTAGACCTGCATTACTGTTCACAAATAGTTAAGGATGTGGGATGTTCTGGTTTTAGGGAAATGCGAAGATTAGCTCAGGATAGGAAAGAGTGGAGGTCCGTGTCCAACCAGTCTTAGTACTTACGACATTATTATGATGATAAATTTAAGTTGGTTAATAGATTTTTTTGTGTAACTGCAGAATTAATGAACGTATTAATATTTATTAATAATTGATTAATTAATCTTATTAATTAAACTTCGAGTTTTCTTCATGTGGTATATCAGTAGAGGGAGAAAATGAAAGAGGAAAATTTACCTAAATATTAAAGCGATATTTACAATTTTTCCCACCAGCCCGTTGCTTTGTAAGCGAAAATAATAAAAATTACAATTTGGACCCGAATTTGTACAAATAAAATCCCAGAAGAAATAAATTTACTCGGTATTTTAGTTGATATTATAAATT